GAGAAGATGCCTGAAGACACGTGACAATGCTTCTGTGATGGGCGTTGTAGAGACAGGAACAGGATGCTTTGGTAACTGGAAGAGGAAGTGACTGATCAGCCTCGGAAAGGATTTCATAGAGAAGTTATCTTGAACTGGGTTTTGAAAAATGAGCAGGAGGCCAGGTGCAATGGCTCATGCCTGTGATCCCAGCACTTTGGGAGGCCGAGGTGGGCAGATCACTTGAGGTCAGGAGTTCAGGACCAGCCTGGCCAACATGCAAAAACGTGTCTCTACTAAAAATAAAAAAAATTAGCGGGGCGTGGTGGTGCTTGCCTGTAATCCCAGCTACTCGGGAGGCTGAGGCAGGAGAATCGCTTGAACCCGGGAGGCGGAGGTTGCAGTGAGCCGAGATCGAGACTCCGTCTCGAAAAAGAAAAAAGAAAAGAAAAATGAGCAGGAGATGGCCAGGGGGAAAAGGGGTGGCAGAGTGTAATCGAGGACACTCTGGACGGAGGAAGCCGCCTATTCAAAGGCATGGCATCATGAAGGGATGAAGACCTCGTGTGGTGCAGTCTGAAGGATGGCCAGGTGGTGCGGAGGCAAAGGAGATGAATTTGGAGGGATGAACTGCACTTCAGAGACTGAGGAACCATTAGGCTATGGGTGCTACTGGCTGGGCCAGAAGTCACAGGAGGCCTTTGAACAGGGAAGGCGTGGCTTTCAGATGCCCCCTCTGGCAGCAGTGAGCAGCTGTGGGGGTGAACTGTGGAAGGAGCCCATCCAGGGGGCTGTAGAGTTTGGGTAAGAGATAAAGTAAGCTTAAACTGAACCAGTGACGCTGGTGATGGAGAGAAGGGGTGAACATGTGACCGGTAAGGTGGGGAAAGGGGTAGGGCCTGGGAGGGAGTTTAGGAGCCTGGGAAGGGGCTGCTGTCAGAAATGAGATAGGCTAGAGAACAAATACACAGAGGCCGGTCCCCTTCCAGAGAGTTCATTTTTCTTTCATCCATTATTTTTCACTCCTCTGCTTTAAAACAAATCTTAAAATCTGTCTACCTCAGAGATATGTCTGCTTAGCCCATAGTGTTCTGATATCCCAGTCTTTCCTTTGTAGATGTTATCCCCTTCATTCATTCCATTAATAAATGCCTATGGAGCGCCCACATGTACCAGGCACTGGACTTGGAGCTGGATGCACAGTGGTGAAAAGGATGAACAAGGTTTATGCCCTTACTGAAGCTTCTAGTCCGGAGGAGTAGACAGATAGTAAAACGTAATATTAAATAACCTAGCATTAAGTAGAGTTTATGGGGGCATATATGGTATGAGATGAAGCCTGATGGTTTGAGAAGGACCAGATCTGTTGATCCTTGTAGACCATGGTCAGGGAACTGAATATTATCCTGGGAGCTATGGACAAAAAGCCAATATGGCTTGGAGTGACAGAAAGCAGAAAGCCTGCTAGGATTCTGGGATGTCTCTGCTTGGGCAACTAGGTTGATGGTGTCATCTATTGAGCTATTGCTGTGTATTTTTCAAATGCATGGTGTATGTTTCATGCACGTTATTTCTACCAGCACCACAAATGACAAATTTGGAAATATATGAGGTATTGTATCAACTCAACTGTGTGTATCACGTGCAGGTAGGGATTTCAATCAGATGACATGTCACATATAAATGTGGACTTTTTCTCCTGACTTGGGTTATTTATGAAAGTTATGTATGTGGGGCAGAAGAACCTTGAACTGTCTAAACTTTTGCTAATGAGGTGAGAATAAGGCCTGAGAAGGAGAAAAAATTGAGATTGAAACAAGAAAATAAAAGCTCCTAAGGAAACTATAGTCCTTTCTGCTGGCAGTGTCCCTTGCCAGAGGTTAGATGTGGGGAGCGTGAGGATGACTATGGACTGGGATGCCCCATCTTTGATGCCTTGGGGGCCAGGGAAAAGGAACTGTTGGTGTGCAGTGACTGGAATGGGTATTTCATGGTTTCCTATGGTGTCCGTCTGCCTGGGAGTCAGGCATCTGTACTCTTCGGTCTCCATGGAGGAGAGTTTTGAGGCATCCTCTGAATTAATGTAAACCAGTAGTGCTCCGGTGCCTGGGCTGTCTCAGGAGAAGAGGTAGAAACGGGGTCAGATGATGAGACTTTTCCATTTTATGACAGCAATGGAATTCCTAGAATGGTTCATTAGTCTTCACAAAAGATCGATTCCTGGCTGGGCGCAGTGGCGCACCCCTGTGATCCCAGAGGTTTGGGAGGCTGAGGTGGTTGGATCACTTGAGGCCAGAAGTTCGAGACCAGCCTGGCCAACATAGTGAAACCTTGTCTCTACTAAAAATACAAAAATTAGCCAGGCATGGTGGCACATGCCTGTAATTCCAGCTACTTGGGAGGCTGAGGCACTAGAATTGCTTGAATGGGGGAGGCAAAGGTTGCAGTGAGCCAAGATCCTGTCACTGCACTCCAGCCTGGATGACAAAGGGAGACTCTGTCTCCAAAAAAAAAAAAAAAAAAAAAGAAAAAGTCAATTCCTTAGCTTAGAAGGCTATATTGTTATATTGTGCAGATCTGTGGAGTTAAGTGGAATACTCAAAGTAGTTTGTTTCACCTCCAGTGTTTGGGATATCTGAAACTTTCAGGGAAGAATTTACAGAATCATTGTATAATTGAATTGATTGCAAAAGACTTATACACATTTATTTGAAGCATTTTTTTTTTAACATTTTCTGTGTTTTCAGGGTAGTCAGTTATATTTTAATATATCTTTTTGTTGCTGTTGTTATAAAGAAAAACTAATCACGTCATCTTAAGAACTGTTTTTAGAAGTTTATATACTATGGCTATAATGATGCTTTATGTTTACATGATGCTTTACAGTATTAGATAAGTAATAAAAACAGTGCTACATGGTTCCATTTGCTACACACAACCCCCCCACCCCCAGAGGTGAGCAGTGCTTGTCACTCGCTTTTCACAGATGAGGAAATGGGGAAGTGGAGGAAGGAGTGGCTGCCCCTAGGCACTTTACTAGGAAGAGATGTGGGACTTGAATCCCTGTCATTTGACTCTAAAGTGATGGCAGCTATGCCATTCACACATCTCATCTCATTGAATCCTCACAACTACTAGGCAAGTATCATCACCTCTACTTTACTGAATGAGAAAAATGTGCTCTGGGAGGTTAAGTAACTAACCCAGGCTAATGGGTGGTGGGGCTGAACTGGCTCTTAACCAGTAGCTTGCCTCCAGTGTCCCACAAGGAAGGAGCACACTGCATATTAAAATTATTAGATAACAACATTCATTTTATGATTTACTAAACTCTTCTCTTCTTGACTCTTTGACAAAGGTAAAGTAGATGCTTTCCTGAATTTTATTTTATTTTATTTTTTTTTTTTTACAAAATAAGACAAATTTGTAAGATCTTAATACTTGCCTCTTGGGAGAGAATGAGAGTAAAGATCTTAAATATTCCTTGGCCACATCATTACCTGATGCTATTTATAAAAGCATAGAACAATCAGACAAGAATACCTATAAAATTAAAAAAAAAAAAAAAAAAAAAAAAAAAAAATTTTTTTTTTTTTTTTTAGATGGAATCTGGCTCTGTTGCCCAGGCTGAGGTGGGAGGACTGCTTGTGGCCAGGAGTTAGATATCAGCCTAGGCAACACAGTGAGACTGAATCTCTATTTAAAAAAACAAAAAAAAA